ACTTTTCTTAACTTGTTGTCAATTAAAATCATTTGATCTTTAGTTTAATTGGTTTTTTACGCATTCGCCGGAGCTGGTTCATCCAGTTGACTTCTTCGCTTTTTTAGCGTCATGATCCCTTTTAAGGGACAATTTTGATGACTGCACCAACGCGTCGCGGCCCCAAAGCCCAATTTTTTTGGAGCTTTTTAAGAAACTGGAACGTCAAAACAAAGCTTATTCCCTCAATCTCCAAATCTTCCTGCAAAAATTATGGTTCCCCCAAGGCTTCCCGTCAGGCCCCAGTCCCCTCCCCACATAATTCATCAAATTTATGACAGCCGACCGCAGGGGATGGGGGCAGCGGATGTCGCCTTTTCGAGAATTTTTCGAAAAAATCTGGATTTTAAACTTGTTTTTAACAGGAAGTAACGTAATTTTCATGGACTATACAAGATAAGAAAGCTGAATTTTGAACCCTACCATCCGCTCCTTATTTTCCGAGGTTTTCCGGGGCCCAGATTACCGTGACATTTACTGAATTTAGATATATTTTAGGTCCACTAGACTCCAATTTTCTTGTAGTATCCGTTAAAACCTACTTGTCTTGCTAATTTCAACGATCAAATTTGCTACGCCCCGCTTAACGGCAGCTGCCGATAGGTGGAGGTGGTTGGGTGTGTTTGAGGCGTTGGTGGTGAGAACCCGTTTTTCTCCCGGAAACCTGGGTGGCAGGACGGGCGCAAATTGGCTATTTTCGGAATGTTACGGCACCCGCCATATCGGGATTCGCGCGTTTTTATGTTATTTATGTGTTATTGTGGTTTCCAATACTTGTGATTTTCTAGACATTTTCCAGAAAGCACTCGGCCAATTTTAAAGTGTTCAAGCAAAAATTTGACCCGAAGCTTTTTCGAATTCGCGTTTTTAGTAACCCATTAATGGATAGTCGCTCATTTAAGGTAGTGTGTAAATATTTACCTTTACTTCCGATAGATTTCAAGGTTCAGGTCACCGAGCGTCGAGCGTAGCGGATCGTTTTCAAGTGCCCACGGCTCTGAATGCGTGTAAATACTTCGCTTTGTTGAGCTCTATAGGTGCAAATATCTACTCCACGTTAGCCAAAAACTAATTATTACCTTTTTAAACCTGAAAATTGCCCAAAAATTCTCAGCTCTTTTTCTGTTTTGAAAATTCGGCAAAAAATGAATTTAGCCTTGTAGCGGAAAATTAGGATTTTTCCAGGCGACTAGTACAGTCCAGGGCAAGTTTCTCAGCTCTCTCAGATTGTCCTTGCCTCCCAATTTCCACGTCATCGATTTCCTTTTGCTCCTATTTCCGTCCGAGCCAAAACAACGGGCCCCGCTAAAAGAGTATTGCCCAGCATGTTTCCATGTCTGGGGGACTGAATTAAGGTATCCTAGGTTAATTCTTTATGGCCGAATTCGTCCATTTTCGCGTTGTCTCTCTAACTCTCTCGCTCTCTCTCGATCTCTCGTTCTCTCCATCTCGCTCTCTCTCTCTCTCTCTCTCTCCCCCTCTGTCACTCTCTTACTCTCTCGCTCTCTCCACGCTCTCGCTCATTCCCTTTGTCTCTCATTCGAAACGCAAAACTTGCTACGTTTGTACATTATGCCCCTACTATTTTGCACGTTTTAACAAAATATCGTGTTTCCTTGCATTTTAATGTACCATCATCGAAACCAGGCGCATCCGCTACATACATTTCCCCATCTTCCCCTTTCTGTTGACACGAATGATTATACGAAAAGGAGTGGTTGGTGGTGTGTTTGGGGCGAGTGGTTGACCATTGCTGGTGGTTATTTTCATCGCCCCCGAAGGGAGACGTCGATTTTATGCGTCTGCGAAATGGGATATGGGGGTGATGTTCTCGATTCGCACTAATAACTGACAAATTTGGCAAATTACGTTTTTCTTTCTTATTTTAGAAACTTGCCCCTCTCTTTATGGCCACACAAACCGGTTTAATATTGCTCTAAAAAGTGGCTGTCGTATAAATCTACCCAAATTGTTATGTTGTTACCTTCTTAGCGCTTCAAGGTATGGCTAATTTTTTGTAAGTATGCATAAATTGCTTTGTTACTATTGTCTAGAAGCAAAGTAGTCCTAGAACCCAATACGGTTAATAATAATTAGTTGATGATCCATGGATTTTCTTGGTCGACCCACTTGGTCGACTGGATCTAGACAGCTACGTGAGGCTCCAAATTACACTATTCCTCATTTTACAGCCCCGTGGATAGTAAAGTTCTTATAAAAATATCACTGCGCATGCATCCCTCCTTTGGAGTATCTCTTAATGTCAGGATTTAGATGCCACAGGGATCGATTTCGGCTTCGTGATGCCTTTAATCCGCATGAATATCTATATAACAATATCAACTAGCTATACGGTATTGTCACCATTCCTTTAAAGCGGATTCAACTTTTTTTGCAGAATGCGTCTCTAACAAAAAATATCTTTCCGTATTTTGATCCGAATTGGCTGCCATGACTTCCTTACCCCTTAGGTTTCACCCTGCTTTTCTGATAGTTTATGTTGGCCAAACACCTTCCATCTCTCTCTCGCTCTCCCCCCCTCCTTCTCTATCCCTTTCTATCTCGCTCTCTCTCGCTCTCTCTCTCTCTCTCTCTCTTTTTCTCTCTCTCTCTCTCTCTCTCTCTCTCTCTCTCTCTCTCTCTCGCTCTCCCTCCTCTTCTCTCTCTCCTCTCTCCTCTCTCTCTGCTCTCCCCTCTCCCTCTTCTCGCTCCCTCTGCATAGGGTGGGACCGATCCCCTTCCTTCCGACCGAGAATCTGAGGGAACAGCTCTATTCTCCACAAAAGACCCTATACACTGCCCATATTTTCGTTGGAAAATAATCCCCACCAACCGACGACCAACGCCCCACCCCCGGAACTGGTCTCACACCTTTTTGGGAAGGGTATTTATAGGGGAATATTTTTATAGATACTTTATTTAAAATTGTGAAAATGGGTTTGCTACAGTAATTTTTCAGTCTTGTTCTGATTTTTACGAGTGGCGGGTTTTTTTTGTACTTTTCCTCGAACTTCGTCGCGTTTTCTGTAAATCAAAATATTTTTTTGGAATATTCCTCTATAGAAGCTACCGTAGGCGCTCCTGTTGTCCTTAACCGCGTAGCTTTTTTTTGAGGAACTGGCCCTATCCTTAAAAACGATGGATACTTTTCGATACCTAATTTTGATCGAGTTCTCCCTGACCATGATTTTTGCTGTTTTTAAACGCTCCTTCCACTGTCATTTGCATGCCCACGGAACGGCCATTCAAAATAGGCGGGCCCCAATTTTCGGTTGCCAGGCGACCATTTTCCAAGCAAAATCCCCGGGATTTGCGTGGATTTTCAGGCAAAACTGGCTTTATTTCGCAAGATTGTAAAAGCTATTTTAAAAATAGTGGAATGGCTCATTTCGGACCCTCTCGCCGATTTTCTTTGAACTAATCAAGCTCCAGTCCTTCCCCTAACCCCTAAAAGTGCTTTTTTGTTTGATTTGGTGATGTGAAGCCCTTTTTCTGCTCTTGAGGACATTTGGAACGGCCAAAAGAAGGCCAAACGGGAGGAATTGGACCCTAATCGCCCGTTCCACTTGGCCCACCCCGAACCAACCGACCCCCGCGTACTTTTGCTACCTAATTTGATAAGACAGGGAAAGTAGCGAAAGTTTTTATAAAACGGTACCAATTTTTTTTTAGAATTACTGAGATTGATTTATGAGAATTTTTTATTTTTCACATCGTGTATGCCAATGTTGTAAAATTTAATTTTAATAGCAAAAATGGCAACTTTACATTTATTTTTTTTGTTTTTTCGATTTTGCGGGCCTGATAAAACTAATACTTTCTAATCCGAAAAAAATGCGTTGTGTTTAGACGACGCCTAGTTATTTGATACCCTGGTTTATGAAGTCATTCAATTCGAAACTTCTGGATTTATAATAAATTTAAGGAGATTTTATATAATTATTATACCTCTAAATGTAACCTTTAAAATTCAAGGTGCATTGGCCGGAAAAGAGAAAAAAATCAAAACTAGCTTTGAATTTTGTTCCGTTTTCATCTTTTATAGTAATTTTCAAAACACTTCATAATTTAACGGGCTTTTAAAGCAATAGCTATCTCCAGTTTAGCTTACGCATTTTTGGTATTTGACATGTTTGAAAAGTCTTCAGAGGCACACGCGCTCCCCACCTGGCCCTGGAGGGATTGAATTTCTCCCCTCTGGTATACCCACCCCAACCACCCCTCCACCAAGTCCCATTCATTGGGGGGGCCTTCTATTCCGCATGAGTCCTGTTTGCATTTACCCAGCCTCCACAAAGCCGGCGACGACTAACTGCGCATGCACCACACGCACGCGTTCCCGCTTATCCGCTACTTTACCGCTACTCTTCACGCGACTTATTATGACAAGTTCGGGTTAATTTGTACAAAACGTAAGGAAGCGCTCCGCTCCATCTTGCGCGTCTGCGCGGTTTCCCATCGGTTAACTTTTGGACAAATGTGGATAGGACCTAACCGGAAAGAGACGTACTTGCCCTTTAAAGCCCTAGAGTTGACCCCTTTCAACTACTAGGTCTCGACAGCTGCGTGGCACCTGAAACACGCTTGGTTTTTTGTTTTTTTTTTGGGCATTCCCGAAAGGGATTTCGCAATTCCATAATTCCGTATAAACGCCCGGAGTTTATTTTTAAATATATTTTAACTCCCGATCCTTAAACCTCGTAATCTACTGTATGTCATATTTTTCCCTTGGTCTGAAGTTTACGTCTTCCCATTTTCAGCCGAAACCACAGCCCCGATCCTCACCGGCTGCCAATCTGCTACCGGCAAAGATTTATACTGCGTCTGCCCACTTTCAGTAAGTAATTTTCGGAGCTTCGTAATAAGCAACAGTCAAGCAGATAAAAATTTCGATTTTTTTTTTGCAGCAATCTGACGTCGCCCCGCCAGTCCTTGAGGCCGCCCTAAAACATTTTCTCAGTATGGCCGTTGACACGAATCATACAAGGACAGATTTGTAAGTATTCAAAGATAATAGTTGTAATAGAGTTGAAAGTGCCGGCAAATCTAATAAAATTTTCGGACGCAGTTGTGGGAATATTCATAGCGCAAAACACTAAGTACTGCCATACTTCCTACCTGAAAGAGCCCAAAGACCCTTTGTTTTTCAGTTTCCTGAAAGTAAAGTCGATTAAAATACTCTCTTTATATAATGACTTAAAAATTAATGGAAGAGTTTTATGTATGAAGGAAGAGTTATCGTGCTAACTTTCAGGGTCAAGCAAGATCTTCTCACCAACAATCGTCTAAACGCCGCTATGGTAAGTCCTTACTTGCCCTGTTGATCCGATTACGATAGGGCAACTTCTCGGATGCTCCAGCAGCGGAACCGACAGTTGCTACCACTTTAATCACCTCAACTGTCGAAGCCGTCACTGAACATTCTGGCGGTCTGGGTGGTGGCGCAATTGCTGGGATTGTTATTGGAGTTCTGGTAGGCTTTAAAGGAACTAGGAAGCTTAGAATTCGTTTTGGTTAGCTTAGGTTTAGCTTAGGCTTAGCATAGGCTTGGCTTAGGCTTAGCTTAGGCCTAGCTTAGGCTTAGCTTAGGCTTAGCTTAGGCTTCACTTCGGCTTAGTTTAGGCTTCGCTGAAGCTGAGGACTAAAAGCTTGATGGTGATTGATAACTGCGCACCTTTTCAGGTACTCCTCGCCCTCATCGCCATCGGCATCTTTATCGGCATGCGCTACATGAAGGACAAGCGGAAAAACCACGGCGAATACCGGCCACAATGGGAAGAGGAACACCACGCCAAGGACCTGCCCCACATACCGCCCCCGAATATCGAGGGTTTGATCTAAATTTCCTGGGTTTTTTTCCATTAAAAATACCCAACTTTTTGTAATTCCGATGATCCGGTTCTCTTCTAGCCATCCACCCATTTCCCAAGCCAAAACCAAAACGCCATTGTACATTCAGTTTTTCACGTTTATTTTTTGGCTTCTCGCTCTATCTCAGTCTCTCTCGTCCTCTTTCTCTCTCTCATTCTCTCTTTCTCCCTTTCTCTCGCCCTCTCTCTCGTCTCAGTTGTGCTACCTACAGCTTTCGACAAAACCCACTTAGCCGTCATTGAAATTCAAATTTTTCTCCTTTTTTTTTGTTTATAAATTCTTGATCTACTTATGCCCTCCCCCAAAAAGTCTTGTCGATTCTTCCCCCGATTTTTACCGGTTGTGCCCTCCTTGATTTTTGCGTCCCTGAAATTTCTATTCATCCCCCTCCCCCAAATGCTGTTCAGTGCCTTCGCCCGGTCGCCAAGTTCACTTTTGAGTGTGTGACAATGTAAATAAATTATTTGTTTAATTGATATTCAATGGTTAGGAAAAAAGGGTTATTTCCAGCAAGAAGTCAAGTTCAGAAGGTCACACAAAAAACCCTTCTGAATCATGTCTTCTCGGTCAAAACGGATCAAAAATTTTAACCAGCGACGTGTACCTGAAAGTTACCTGCCATTGTATAAAAAATCGCGGTTTTTTTTTGTTTTCTGCATTTGCACGCCCCCTTTCCCAACGATTTTCGGCTCCTACGTCCTCAGGGAGTCCTTTTTAAATAGGAGAAAAATGTCTTGAGGTGTAAAATGAGCCGTCGACGCATATCCACATACCAGTTCTGTGAAAAATATTTATTTCGCGTTCACAAAAGGTTATTTGTAAAAAACTCGGTCACGCTCTTTGTTACGCAGCAATTTATCTACGCCGGAAGCGGAAGAAGGGCTTTCATAGGTGCTGGACGGAATCAGGGTAGCAACGTAGTGCGGTCTTAAACAAATGCATTTGTAGATGATGACGTTCCCCGAACACAATTTATTCATAACACCAACAAATGTACACCACAAAAATTCGTTTTTCACAGCAATACATCCAATAGATCCATCATATTCAACCAAATACGTTGATGAAGCCGAGGAGGAGGAAGATGGGAATGCTGGAGGGGATGGATGCCGTGGATGTGGTGAAGGCGGTGGCTGTCAGGTTCAGGGCGGGGCCGCGGTAAGCTTCCACCATCTCCCTGAGTGTCGTCGCGTTCCAGGAGTTGCACAGTCGGCCCTCGCATCCGCAAGCCATCAAAAACCCTGCAAAAAAAAACTATCTAAAAAGTCGAAATTTTGGTCAAAAATCGGGCATTTGAGGTCGAAAAATTCATTTTTTAAAATATTTTTTGATAGAAACCAGCGCTGAAAAACCACCCGGGGTTGTTCAACTCGGGCCCGTAAACCGATAAGGCGAGAGAGCCAAAGAACGTTACAAAATGTATGAAATTCCTAGCTGACCCACCGTCATCGTGGTGGTCAATCGTACACGTCGGATCTGTCCCTTTCACGCAGAATCTCTCGAGGAGCGGATGAAGAGTAGTATCATGAAAGAATTTGACGTTCGTCTGGCAGTACTCCCCCGGCACTCCGCACCGCCCATCGTAGTATCTTGTCTGCTGCGCCAATTCCTAGGCGGGGTCTATTAATAAAGCATTTTGGTATATGTATGCTACGCTGCGTACAATCTTAGGCGTTGATGACAGCTGTTGAAGCGAACATAACCATTTTTTGCATTTTTTTCAATACAAACAAAACCTTTAGCATGGTTTCTATCGATTTACCCACCGAATGGCGGTGCAGAAAATGGTTCCGGACTGTTAGCGGGGGGATGGATTTTTAGCAAGAGGCAAACCACATTTTGCTTTTCCACCTACCTGTTTATAAGATTTTATGTTTTTTTATGCATTTTAGTGATTTCTCATTTCTAGAAAGATTTAAAAATTTTTCAAGCGTTTTGAAAATTCCAAAATTTTGAACTCGTTTGGTCATCCTTGACGCATTTTTGCCAAAAAGTCTTTTGAAAATTTTTGTGATTTTTACATTATTTTTCACCTAAAACTATGCAAAATGCTATAGAAATGGTTTATATCAACTATAACAATTTTGCTGTGATCTCTGGGTGTCCGTCATGTCCCGAATTCAACTCGAAGGGAAAAGGAGCTAGAGCTTAGCTCTCTTAGGATTCGGATACAAGCGCGGTAAGAAACCCCAAATTGATCAAGAACAGAACCTAAAAACTTCATTTTCATATTTATAAATCTATTTTTGTAATTTGGTAGTAAAAACGGCTATTTGCATGATTTTGGGCATCCTGAGCCAGGTCGCGCACGTTTCGGCGAGGGGGAGGGAGTGGGGGATCTAAAGACTGCTAATCGCGCCGCCTGCCCCCGTTAACAGTCCAGAACCAAAGATATCCCTTTTCGGTACATGCTAATTATTTCGTAACAAAGATCATACCTGTCCACCATGCCAGCATCCAGGCATAACCGGCGCTATTGGGTTGTCGCTATAGTTCGAGGCGCAATAGAAGCAATCAATTGTTATGGTGGTGCCAGTGCGCAATGGTGTTGGTACTGGCGTTGGAAGTGGTGGGGTTGTCGTCGTTGTAGTCGTTGTTGTCGTGGTGCGCAGGGCCTCTTCCTTCACTTCCATTAGTGTAGGAACGTCCCACGTGTTGCAGTAATCAGTGTCGCATATGCAGTACCAGGTATCATCTATAATAAAAAGTAGCGGTGTCTGTCTCTGTGTGTGTGTGTCTGAAGCCGAATTCACTCGAGGGGAAAAGGAGCTAGAGCTTAGGTCTTTTCTTTTATTTTTTTTTGTTATTTATTCTCACACAAGGTTCATAAAGTTCACACACAAGGAGGGGTGCGACCGGACGGGGCGAGCACAGGGGAAAAGTGAGCACATGGGGGAAAAGTGACTTCGGATTCGGAGAGCGCCGTCAGAAAGCCCCAAACTAATAAAAAAATTATGAAAAACTTTTAGCTTAAATTATTAAAAATAGCTTTGAAAGTTTTTCCTTAGTAAAAGGGGTGAGGGACGGAGGTTGGGGTGATTTTGGCCATAGTGAGCCAGGTCACGCGCGTTTCATGGATGAAAATTTTTACTGCGCCATTTCATTTCTTTTTTCCTCCCACGTATCCGATCGGCCGTTACTGTAGTTTTTCAAGGGGATTTTGGCTAGGGGAGGTATCTAAAGCCATCAGGGAGGTATCGAAGTAGTTTTTTAAGGGGATTTCGGCTAGGGGGGTTTCTGAAGCCATCAGAAAGGTATGTTGGTAGTTTTTGAAGGGGATTTCGGCTATGAGGTGGTATCTGAAGGGTTCTTTAGGATTCCCGGGGGCGGGGGGAGATTTTTAGATTTTTAGATTGTTTTATAAATTGCGGATGCGTTTTTAAATTGTTTTTAACTATTCGTGAGCATAAAAACTACGCACATTTTAACCAAAAAATTTAAAAAAATAAAAATTGGGGTATATGTCGGCTAAGCGGGGGGAGGGGGGAATTTTACGCGAGGGGCGGAAGACTGTTGGGGCCGACTAACTATTTTTTTGCGTTTCTTTTTGCTACAAACAAAACTTTTAGTATATTTTTTGACGCTCTGTCGAATGGCACTAAAGAAATTTTGTAAAAATGTCGAAAATGTCGAAAATTTGATTTCATTCTATATCCTCCAAGAAAACAACGTTTAATACTTGTTTTGGTTATAACTATTTTATATTACATTATTTTGAGCTAAAATGAAAACTCTTAGTATATTTTTGGATGTTCTATCGCATGGCATCTTTGAAATGTCGAAAAAATTGCGCGAATATCGAAAAACAGCGGCTCAAACCGATTTTCAAAGCTTATTTTTGTATTTGCCATAACTTTTTTATATTACACTAATTTTAGCTAAAACAAAAACTCTTAGTATATTTTTCGATGCTCTATCGAACGCCGTTGCGAAAATTCCGAGAAAATAACGAAAACATCCAAAAGGCCTGCCTGTCCCGTCCCCCCCGCGTAAAATCCCCCCCCCGCGTAGCCGACATATACCAAAATTAGGTTGAACAATCCTATAGAACCTTTAGGATTCGCGGGGGGGGGGAAGACCCAAAATGACCAAATTTTCGACTTTTTCAAACATTTTTCTAAATTTTTCTGGAAGTTCTTCTGCTTTAAATATAGTTAAAACTTACTAAAACCAATTCGAAAACACTTTATATTTGATTACTAGGTCAACCGGTGGTGTAGAATATGGAGGGTAGGCCGAAGGCCAGTCGATTACAGTCGCGAAGGGGCTGGTCCTCTAGAAGAAACGGCTATGGTTCTATTTCGGGCACCACTGGGGGGGGGGGGGTGGGAAGGGGGGAAAAAGCAAAGAAAAGCGGACATACAGTAGCCGCTGGGCCCGAACGAACATTGGAGATCGCGTTCGTTCGGCACATGCCGAGCGCAGTGTCGGTCGGCGTGGCGCATGCGGGATTCCCGATTTTCCGTGTAATAAAATTCGCAGACGGCATCTGAGCAGACATCGACGGCATCCAACGTCGCCTGACAAGGGGGCGTGGGTTTTTAAGATCGCGGCGGGGATACCACCTGGTTCTAAACATTTGCAGCCAAAGCCTAGCTTACGAGACCAAGCCCACATTGGGGCAGAATTGTACACTGGTTCCGAAGCCCTTTCGAAAGTCGCGCACGACAACTTTTGAAAAGTTATAATGTATTGCCCTAACTACACCGTTCGCTAAAAGAAAAACACTCTAGAAGTGTTAGATAACAGGTCTTGCTCGGAAAAATACAGGTTTCAGATGAGGTCAGGCCCGTAAGAGGGGGAGAGGGGGGCGAGGGGGGCGAGCCGCCCCGCCCCCCCTCCCCCCGAAATTTTATTTGGCTATTTTTCACACTGGTTTTAGCGTTACAAGCCCTATGTTTTCAAAAATTTTGCCTGCGTCGCTGTAGTTTTAGTCCTATTAGTGAAACATTGTTGGAGTCGCCCCC